CATTCGACCCAGTGTGTCGCCTTGGGGTGTGCTGGTTCTGTTTGTGAAGAAAAAGGATGGGTCCATGAGACTTTGCATAAACTATAAGCAGTTAAATCAGGTAGCAGTAAAGAATACGTATCATTTGCATAGGATTGATGACCTCTTTGATCAGTTTGAAGGGGCCCAAGTGTTCTCTAAGATCGATCTGCGATCGGGTTATCATCAACTGCGTGTCAAGGAGGAAGATATTCCCAAGACCGCATTTAGAACCCGTTATGGCCACTACGAGTTTTTAGTAATGTCGTTCGGTCTGACTAATGCCCCAGCTGTTTTCATGGACCTGATGAACAGAATTTTCGGACCCTTTTTGGACAATTTTGTTGTGGTTTTTATTGATGACATCTTGGTGTACTCGAAGAGCCTAGATGAGCATAAGCAGCACATGAGAGTAGTCCTTCAGACTTTAAGGAAAGAAAAGTTGTATGCCAAGTTAAGAAAGAGTGAGTTCTGGCTTTTTAGTGTGGCCTTCCTTGGGCACGTTGTTTCTAGGGATGGGGTCGCGGTGGAACTTTCTAAGATCGATTTGTGTGGTCAGATGATTGTGAGAAAAGTTTTCAGAAACTAAAGAAGAGGTTGACCACGACCTCGTTACTAGCCTTACTCGAAGGACATGAGGACTTTACAGTTTACACCGATGCTCTCATAAAGGGCTCGAATGTGTACTTATGCAGCGAGGGAAGGTCATTGCATATGCCTCCAGACAGTTAAAGTCATATGAGCAGAATTATCCAACCCATGATTTGGAGCTTGCGGCTATAGTATTCGCCTTGAAAATTTGGAGACATTATCTTTATGGACCCAATTTAAGGTGTTTTTGGATCATAAGAGCCTCAAGTACCTGTTTTCCCAAAAGGAGTTGAACATGAGGCAAAAGACATGGGTGGACCTATTAAACGATTATGATTTTACCATCCAATATCACCCGAGCAAAACCAATATAGTAGCCGATGCTCTGAGCAGGAAACCTGTGATATCAATGGCTCATCTGATGGTCCGAGAAATGAAGTTGTTAGAGGATGTAGAGGGATGGCATCCAGCTCCACCCTAGGGTAGTGGGGTAAGTATAGCAGCTTGAATAAGGGTAGAACCCCAGCTTTTTCAACAGATCTGGCTGGCACAAAAGAAGGATCCCCATCTCATGAAAATTCTGGAAGAGATGAAGTTAGGAAAGAGAGACAATTTCTCTATGAGCAGTGATGACTTGTTGAGATTCAGAAATCGGATCTATATCTCGAATGATGAGGATGTGAAGAGGGCTATCTTGGAGAAAGCTCACCGCTCTCGTCATGCTATACATCCTGGGAGTAATAAGATGTATTAGGACCTGAAGAAAACTTTCTGGTGGGATGACATGAAAAGAGAAGTGACATTGTTTGTCTCTAAGTGTTTACCATTCCAGCAAGTGAAAGTAGAGCATCATAAATCCATCGGGTTGTTGCAGCCCTTACCCGTGCCGGAATGGAAATGGGAACACGTTGCTATGGTTTGTCTCTGGACCCTTAGCCCAACTATCTTTGTTTGAATGCATGTTCAATTTAATCCTTAAAGTATGAAATTGGGTAGAAATATGAATGTATATGGAAAACCATGCTTCAAAAATTGGGTTAATCATGCACTCTTTTTTTCTAGGGTTATGACTCTCTTTTGAGTAGTTGTTTGAGAATGAAAATACCTCTTTTAACCATGAAATTTTATGGGGAAGTACCACTTTGAGTCTATATCTCATGTGATTGGAAAGTTAGAAGACTTTTGGTAGAACATGCCAAATCTATGACATGAAATTCTAAAAACTTTACATGTTTTTGTATTTAACTGTTTATTTATCAAATCATATCAGAATGAGTCCAAACTACTTTTAAATGAAAGATGAGTGAGTCTAATTCAAAATGATTTTAAAACTATGCCGAAATTATTTGTGGTTTGGAAATTATGCCCCTTTTTCTATGAATATGTCACTATTATGAATGCAGGAAATTTCCTAAACTGTTACATGTTTTTTTATTTAACTGTTTATTGATCAAATTATGTCAGAATGAGTCCAAAAATTTTCCATGAAATATGAGTGAGTCTAATTCCAAAATGGTTTTTGAACCATGCCGAAATTCTCTGTGGTTTGAAAATTATGTCCTTTTTCTATGAAGATGTCATTGTTATGAATGCAAGAAATTTCCAGAACTATTACATGTTTTAGTATTGAACTGTTTATTGATCAAATTATATCAAAATGAGTCCAAACCACTTTTAAATGAAATATGAGTGAGTCTAATTCAAAAGTGGTTTTGGAATCATGTCGAAACTCTTTGTGGTCTAGAAACTATGCGAAAAAAGGTGGATTGTATTAACTCCTCAAACCAGCAAAGTAACTCAAATATGTTTTTAACGAACCTTACGACTTGTATTTTGCTCTGGACATATTTGTGTGTCTTAAATGTATGCTTTGCGATGATAAGAATGTGTTCTGATAAGAATCTGTTCAGATAAGAATGTGTTCTGATAAGACTCTATACTAATAAGAATCTACTCTGATAAGAATCTGTTCTGATAAGAATGTGTTCCGATAAGAATGTGCTCTGACTAGCGGACTACGCAACGGGTTACCGGTGGTAATGTAATTTGATATGATAAGAAAGTTGCGTCAACAGTTGAGATATTTTCCCTAACTACCTATGATAGGATCGGAGTTCGGATGATTGTGTGTGTTGGGTTGGGTTGCACCCCCCAAATTTCTGTTTGAGGAACTATCCATTGGGATCCTTTTGGAAGTGTGACGCCCTCTAGCGGAGATGCATAGAGAGGGCCATATCTTGCAAGGCCTGTACCTATCAAAAAGCCCCAAAGCGCACTGGGGCTGTGTATGTGTGTGAAGGCATTACGAAGTGGGTCCCCCACTTGTCACTGTCTTCCCTCCTGAGTGATGGTAGAAGTCCTAAGCAATAGGATTGACTTGGCTTGATGGATAGAGTTTCTATTTCGGGAGTAAGCGAATTAGAGAGTGATTTGGTTAATGCTTGCTAAATGTTGCTTATACTTATTAGGCTTATTAAGTTATAGTTTTGATGCTTGTGATGGAAAGGTTTGATAAATGGCTAATTCATATGATATCTGCATTGTAATTGCTCATCCCTGAAAAAAATCATTCACGCAACACTGCTAGATATAATTGTAACACATGGCATTTGGAGCTACTTACTAGGCTTTATAGCTCATTCCTTTAACTTCCATCCTTGTAGAACGATAGCCGCAGGTCAAGGGCAGACGATTCGGAAAACGCGGTTGGTGGCAGGAGCTCGTGCTACTTACAGAAGTTTGTTTTCCTTGTATGTTTTTTATGGCTGTTAGCCACTGATTTTGTTTAAATTTTGAAGTTATGTAATGATCATGCCCTTTGATGCTCGAGAACCTTTTATAATACTTTGAAATTTTATGTACAGTGTAATTCACAATTTGGGGACTTGGTTGTCCGGCTTTTGGTATATGTGTGTGATGTGAAAGTTTTGTTTTCTTTCGTGGTTTGCTTTGATTACTGTTTTTCTAAGGCGTTGAGCGCACTCCCACCTAAGTGGCATTCGCTACCCTGGATCACAGTCCCGCACTCTGTTGCCCTCCAGCAAGTACGACAAGGGCCAAGGGGCGTTTTCGTGACAAGGAGGCACGTCAGCAAAGAGGGAAAAGGAAGGGCCAGCATCAGGAGATACAACATCAGGGAGAGGAAAATGGTAGGTTGCATCAAGGGACACTGCAGGGTCAGGGAGTGGCAGCCTTTTGGTGACTGATGGCAGTTGAGTTGGTGAGTGTGGGGCTCGAGGCTCATCATCTGGATGAGGGGAGGTAGGTTCTTGCATAGGGCCAAACTGGTTCGACAGTAAAGACTCTTCAAACAAGATGTCAAGGGCACTATGAGATACGTGCCTTCCCCGAAAGGGTCAACGGTAGTGGAATTGGGGCCCTCTATATCGACAGTTCTGCTTCCTCTTTGGAGCCACCACCGTCCAATGGGATTGATTCTCCAGTAGTGGGAGCGACAAGTTCCAAAGTCTAGAATCCCTATTGAGCTTCGTTCCAGAGACTGATGTGGGGAGGGAGGAGAGGCGTTGGACGATTCCAAGAGCACTTGGTAATACCTTCCTCCTACCTCCAGCTAGAGAACGGAAGGGATAGACTGTGGGTCCAGCACATCAATGATGAGCCTGATGGATCCTAGAGGTAAGTGATCCAGAGATCGCCAATGAAAGACCATGAACGTTCCTCAAGCATTCGCAATGGCTTTGAAGGTCTAGAGACTCCAGTAGTGAAGAGGGATGGCTGAGGCTATGAGCCAAATCTTCTGAAGTCGATAGGCTCCCCAATCTTCTTACTATCTTGAGAGAGATAAGGAGGCACACCGAAAGCTAGGATTTGCTGAGATCAGGGCTTTTAAGCACCTGCAGCTGAAGAGAAGGAGAAGAGGGTGGAGCCATCTGAAAGTTTTTTACAAAGCATGGAAGGCTCCGCCCATACTGATTTGGCCCATTTCTCGATTCCACGGGAGTCTTCTTGTTGTGGAGTGAAGACTCCTACCAGGGATGTTCGAAAATTTTCTGCGATTTGCGATGATAATTCCTGTAAGTTTGGGAGCATAAGGAAGAGTAGCGAAAGGGTAGTCGAGAGCCATTTTTTAAATCCACCCATGACATAATATTAGTTCTTCCAAGCCAGATCTTTATTGGAAGCAAGTCTAATTTTTCTGAAATATTCACTGTATCAGTAATCTTCAACAAATTGATAAATAAGATGAGTATATTTCCCAATTGCGAATGAAAAGACTCACAATTTTTTCATTGTGAAGGTTTTTTATTTGACATCCAAACTGGCCCTATATCATACATATAGACTAAAACAGCAAAGCCAAAGAGTCAATTATCTTTTATTTCAGACATTTGAGTTCACAATCTGAAAGATATGATACATATCTACTCTACATGTTCATTGACAACAATGATTCCAGTTTTCGGGATATCCTGCTGAAGTAAGGAGAGTAAAGTCTGAAGTCTTCCTTCCTTTTTACAAGTCTGTGAATAAACAATGACAACCAACAGCTGAAACCTCTTATTCCAAATGTGAGGTCAGTGATAGGGAATTCTTGGCAATTTAATAAATTAAATCACGTTGTTATTATTATCTTTTGTTTTGAATGACTTGGGACCTAGTAAGAGTGGAACACAAGACATCACCTTGTGGCACCCCGCCACCTTGACCAACTATGCCTTGAGCCCATTCATTAGTTTGTTATACTTTCAGCTCATTAAATTACTTTTGTTATTGAAGCTTCAAATGAACTGACTTGTTAAATAGCATTAAGAGTAATATGCTAAGAATTGCTAAAGTTTCTTATTGTTGTCTAGTAAAAGCAGGATAAAGATAGTCCCACAAATTTTGCGAGCCTGTGGATTTCAAATAGAATGAAGGACGCAGCAAAAGCTTAAATTCAATTTTCCTCACCACAAATATATGGCAAAGCTGTGAAGGCATGGGCTCCACTACGTGCAAATGTAGGCATTATGCTGCTCAAGGCACAAACAGAATGCCCAAAACAGAAAACAAGTCTGCAATTATCAAACAAGGATAAAGTATAATTTTCTTGCAAACCTTGGTCCATTTTTGCTGAATACAGTCATGTAAGAAATGCTTGTGCTGGGGAATAGATGCACTCGCGAATATTGTCTGATGCCGATCAACTGTTGAATATGATGTCCACAGCTTCCGAAGAGAATGCACTAGTTTTGATGAATTGAATAAAAAATCAACCTAAGAAGATGTAATATTTCATTACCCTATATAATTATTAAATACCATGTACAGAGAGAAGATTATATAAAGGGATTGTATACAATGAGACCATTTACCTTTGATACAAGGAGGTCACAATTATTTATAATCATCCGATGTGTGTCACAAAGTTCAAGAAAATTTCTTTTGAAGTTTGTGCTTGGTCAATGGAATAAATGCAACTATCCAATTTCACATCTAATGGGCAAGATTAATTGTAACCACCTTGTACCAAAGGTATATAGTCTCATTGTATATTTTTCCTTATATAAATCTTTGACACATTTTTTTAGAATAAAAAACCTACCGGACAGATTCCAAATAAAACAGATAGAAAATCTGAGGAAAATTTTATAAAAGAGACCAATATAACTATTTCTTGAATAAAACAAACAACAGAATTCTAGACAATTATCCTTGTCTACAATTCCAATTATACTCAGTTTCAAAACATTGTATGATTGTACGTTGCGACATATAGAGATAAACCACATTAATTGGACGAGAGCTTTTAATTCATAAAAGCTGTAGTACGCTCAGCAATAAGAAGGTAGCCATCAACATTTTTTGAAGAAGTTAACATTGTATTAAAAGTAATGGAGTACACATAGTGACACTAGTGAACACACGAGTAAATCCTATCTGGGGGGGTAAAGTAAACCTCTGTGGTTAGTTGTAGTACAAACACTAATAACCACAGGCTTAACATGGACGGATTGGGGTCATTTTACAAGTGTTTTGGCTTCAAAGAGGCAAGCTAAGTTTTACATTAAAAGGATAGACCGAAGAGATATGGGCCAAAAAAAGAGCCGATCGAGAAGGTCTACCAGGCTTATGTAGCAGCTGTGGGTTGCAAGTTGGCTCCCTCCTTAGCTAGGCGGTCTGCAATACGTTTGATACCCGCCAAATATGCGTCCATGAGACGGGAATATCCCTGCAGAGGTGAGAAATCTCATCAAAAATCGTAGAGAGGTACCATGGGGGGTAGACAAGGCGTGCAGCCCAAGAGACTATATTGCATGCATCCCCTTCCACCAGAAGTGGTTGACCCCACGCAAGATCAAAGAGCGCAAGGCGAGAGATTCTGCTAGTTGTGAATTGGTGTGACCTATGTGACTTGAGAATTGTCCCAAGATGTTTTCTAGTCGGTCTCTGAACACCCCCCTACCCCAAAGGGCCAGGATTTCCGAGCGAGCAGCCATCAAAGTTGAACTTAATTGCACCAGGCGGAGGGAGGGACCAGTCCCTAAGGCGTGGGGGTCGAGAGTAGTGAACCATCAGTAATTGTTGCCAGTTGGCGAGGAAGAGAGAAGTAGCTTGAAGGCCTTATGATTGATAGCCCAAAAAAATCACGTGTGTGGATTTTATGGAACATGGCAAGATTGTCGCAGTGGACCCCTCTAAAGATTCTAGAATTCCTTTCTTTCCATAGAGTCCAAATCGTTGCCTCTGTCGCTGCCTTCCATACAACCCTCCCGATTTTGGCCCACGGGAGGCTGTCTGCTAAGTTAAAGAGCCTGGGGATGGAAGCCGGTATGACCCAGGTTAGGCCAAAAAGTTTGAGGAGTTTGGTCCATTGGTAAAGAGCAACATCGCAGTGGATAAACAAATGGGAGTGGGTCTCTTCTTCTTTATAGCAGAGAATGCAACGATTTGGTAAAGCGAAGCCTCTACGCTTGGTCAACCGTTAGCGCTTTTCCTCCGCAAGCGATCCAATTAAATGCTTGCACTTTTGGTGGCGCTATTGATGACCATACCTTGAACGTTACCTGGGGGGGAGAGCGTTGACATGGTAGAAAGCTCCTGTAGAAAAAGCCCACTGAGAACGAGCCTGATGGCTCTCGCTTCCAAATGATCCTATCCAGTCTTGAGAGTCTTGAGAGTGGGAAGTAGTCATTAAGCGTGGCCTAGAGGGAAATGAAATCCCACGTTTCGGCGTCAGAAAGAGGCCTTCTGAAAGAAGGATTCAAAACTCTTCTGCCACCTGTTAGCTGTAGCTCTTCCGAGATCCAGGCTAGCGGGTTACTGGTGAGCAAATACAAGGAAGGAAAGCGCTCCCTGAGAAGGGAGTGGCCCATCTATAGGTCAGGCCAAAATCGAATCCTGTTGCCAGACCTCAGGAGGAATCTGATGTATAGTTTGAAGGTGGGCAACACCGATAGGAATGATTTCCAGGCTCCTGAAGGTCTGCTGTGGGGCCTCCCATCTGGTAGCCAGATTTCAGGGGGAATTCTATATTTATGTTGTGACCAAAGCTTATTAGGGGAGTTTTCCAAGAGCCACCACCATTTGCCCAGGAGAGCCATATTTTGCATTCGTAGGGAGCGAATCCCTAGTCCGCCCTGAGTCTTTGGTCGGCAGACCGTTTCCCAGGCGACGAGGTGGAATTTATTTCGTACAGACTCTCCTGACCATAGAAAGTTCCTCATGAGTTGTTCCAATCTGTTGGCTACTGGCAAAGGGACATGAGGTAAATGGGGTTGTTGGAGAGGGTGGCTTTGATTAGAGTAGCACGACCCGCAAAGGGAAGGAACCTTCCTTTCCAACCAGCTAGTTTGCGGTCCACTCTATCAATAATAGTTGACCATTGTAACCTTTTAGGTTTCCCAAGCCCTAGGGGGTTTCCCAAGCCCCAGGGGAATGCCCAGGTAGTTAGTTGGGAGGTCTTCCATTTTACACGTCCAGCCTAAGAGTAGGGCACTGGTCTCCTCAGAGGTGAGGGCAACCTCTATCATTGTTGACTTTGACATATTGGCCTTAAAGCGTGGTGAACTCAAAACCCCTGAGGAACATACGGAGGGATTCAGTTTCTTGGGGAACACTAGAGTGTCATTGGCGTATTGCAGATGGGAAACCGATGGGCCCCTTACACTGCTTTTAAAGCCGTTCAATAAGCCCACTTGGTACAACCTAGATAGAGATTGGCTAAAAACTTTGGATGTTATAACAAAGAGAAAGGGACAAATGGGGTCTAGGGGAAGAAACCCTTAGGGGTCCCATTGATGAGAATGGAGAAGTGGGGATTTGACTAGCAACCCCTCATCCATCTCCACCATCTATTCCCGAAGCCCATTCTACCCATCGTCTCGTCTAAGAGTGACCAGTCTACGTGGTCATAGGCCTTCTCCCAATCGATTTTGAATACGAGGCCTGGTTTTTTTTGTAAGTGTTTGGAATTGATGCATTCGTGAGCGACCAGGACCGCATCTAGGATTTGTCTGTCCTTTATGAAGGCACTTTGTGAGAGCGAAATTGCTAGGGGTAGCACTTCCTTCAACCGAGTTGCCAGCACTTTTCACATAATCTTGTAAGAGGAGTTTACCAAAATGATAGATCTAAAATCCTTTAATTCGTCTGCCCCTTCCATCTTTGGGACTAAGGCGATGAAAGTGGCATTTATCGCTTCATGAATGATGCCCCTATGGTAGAACTCTTCAAAGAATTTGAGGAAATAGGGCCTAAAAGTCTCCCATAACGTCCTGATGGGAGCCACCGGAAAGCCATCCGGAGCCTGGCACCTTGTCTTTGCCGAGATCCGTGATGGCTTTCAGTATTTCCTCTTCAAAGAATGGGCGTTCCGACCAGTATGACCAGTCTCGTCCAGACAAGAGGGTTGGTAAGGATCGTTGCGGTACATGGGTGGGTCTCACAAATCCAACCTCTGCCGCCCTACACCACCACACCCCAACCCCATCAATTTTCCATGGTTCTCTTTTTAGCCCTCTAATCCAATCACCAATAAGAGAAGAAGTTGTAGAGAGAAAAGATGATGATGAAGAAATGAAGTGAAGTGAATTGCTTTACCTTTGCAGAAAAGTTTCAGGGACTCGGCCATGTCATAGCTCCCTCAATGACGACGATGATGTAGTAAGGGAGTGGGGGGTTTCATGGTTGTTATGACAACAGAAGCAATTGAGGGGGTGGGGGGAGTAAAAGCAGCAGCACTCCTCCTCCTTTCCCTTTTGAAGAAGAAGAGAGGCGGAGGTTGCAGAATGGAAGAGGAAGCCAAATGAGAGCCATGCGTGAGACGAGCTCCTCTTCAGATTTCCTGGACAAAAGAGGAGTTAGCGACCTGTGTTTACAGTGTTCACATAATTTTAAGATTTGGGAAGTTTGAAATGGTTTGGGTTAATCGGGCTTCGCAATAAATATTTTTTTTAGCATAATTTGATCCAACCCTGAATATGAATTTTTTTTTGAAAAACTAGATTGTTAGATGGACCACGCATCCACCTTTAACATGTAATTTTTTTATACCTCTGGACCGCATATGCATTCCAGCCCGCATGACACAATATCCCGATGTGAACAAATTGTTTTATGGGTTGGACTATATTTATCGGTCAAAAAATATAAGGCATTCATTTTAAAGATGGATGCAAATAGGTGGTCCATCTAAAAACAATTGTAACTTATGGTTCTAATGTTTTTTTTAATATAGTTATTATTTTTAGTTTTAAAATTTATTTCTACATGTACAGGCTTGGCCGCATGCTAACCGCATATATGATCACACCATTTACTCTTATCAACACAAGGAGGTGTACCAGTTTTTGTTGGCAATTAGATGTAAAATTGAGCAGTTAAGGATGTGTTATGGATTGGATACAAAGTATAAAATAAATTTATTCGAATATTGTGATATATTTCAATATCGAATTTTACATCCAATGGCTACAATTGATTGTGATCGAATTTTACATTCAATGGCTACAATTGATTGTGACTTTCTATACTACAAGTGAGTAGACTTATAGTATACCATCCTAGTCTATAAAAAGTGCCAAAAATTTTCATGTGTTTTTGGATATGCTCATGCATTATTTTTTAAGCTTAGAGTTTTATAATTATGGGGGAAAATAGAGTTTTTTAGGCCGGATATTTTCGCACCAAAAGTGCATCTTTTGTGAGAGTCTGAAAATGCGTCTTACTATGATTGTTTAAGGTTGCTACCTGTATAAATTGCATTATCTTTATGATGAAAAAAAGTAACTATGATCTCCTTGTACCAAAAATAAATAGTCTCTTTATATACTTTTCTTTTTATATTAGAAGAAATAACAAAAGAGAGCAATGTTGCTCCCATTGCATCTACAAAGGGATAAATATCTATGCAACTTCTAGGACTTACGTGCTCTATCTCACTTGAGATCAATATTAGGAATTTGTAATTCTTATTTTTCATAAATGGATGTGGTTTGCATAAGGTTGCAACTTTAAATAATCATATTAAGGTGCACTCCCAAACTTTGTCATGAGATGTAAATTTGGTGTTGAAAATTCATAGGATTGTGCTATAATATATTTTTATATAGTTTTAAAATTTTAAACTCTAGAAAAGGTCCACATAATATGTTGCAAGGTATACTTTTTTAGGACTTGAAATATCGTTTTTTTTATCTATACATCTCGATGTCAAGATGATCAATTAGATGTTTTTCCAACGTCAAAACAACATTTTTCTGAGGATTTAAGTGGTGCACCTTAATTCTACGTTTTAAGGTGCCAACTTTATATAAACTTTTTCCTTTATATATATTATTCCTCTTTGAGTTTTCAAGAGTGTTGTTTTGTCTTTTTAGATAAAGAAAATTGTCTCTTGTAGGCTAGACCGCATTTCTACATATGCGGTCCAGAAAGTGTAAAGTATTCATCTTAAAGTTGGATGTGAGTAGGTGCTCCATCTAAAAACAATGAAAACTAGCAGTCCAAATGTTTTCTTACTAGAATTATTATTTCTTATTTTTAAATTTCATTTATTTTTTCATATTCATGAGCTCCATATTAGAGATTACATGTCCTTAAAAATTAAGTCTTAAAATCCATCTCAAAACTAGATTTATTAAGATTTTAAATCTCTTATATGCTCTCCTTTAATGCTCTTACATGGACTGATGATATTTGTTTTCTCGTCAGTTTCTTTCTTGCTATATGATCCAAATTACAGTGGAAGGTCACTCTTCTTAACTTATATAAGGTCTTGGAATGAAATTTATTTTGGAACCAATTGCTTAAAAGTATATGCGTGTTTGAACCATATTGCAGCAGTTATGAATTTTAGCAAAAGTGCTTTCCAAATCTCCCCATCATAGGTATATGTTGTGGAGGGTCACGATTTTTAATCTTGACCTTATATAAAAACCACCCTACTTTGTGATCAATGTTGGATCAGAAGGAAGTTCCAGTTACTAAATATCTATGAACAAAAACCAGTATACAGGCCTAATTGGATGAAACTATTATTTCTTAGTTGTTTGAATGTCTAAGATCCGTTTAATTACCCACAAAGAAACGTAATATCCTTTGATTATTGTTTGGATAGAGAGTTTTCCTATCATTCGCTCGTCACCCTAGATAAATAGCATTATACCAGATGACTTTACACTCACTAAAGTAAAAAAGCATTTAAAAAAGATAAATTTATATACGAAACCGACTACAAGTTTATTTCAAAAAAATTTATGTTGAAAACTGCTAAACAACATATAACTTATTATCAAGTTTAATTGGTACATTCAAATGTGCCCTACACGAATAGCCTAGTTCTTGGATGCACAATGTGTGTGTAAGAAAAACTATAACAAGATCCAATCAAACTCCCATGATACTTTGGTCTACCTCTCAGCCATTTGATCTTGATCTTAATGCATGTGTTTTTTTTTCTTTTTTATTTTTTACAAATCAAATTGATATTGATTCTTCTGTTGGAATCTCACAAGCTATCTAATTTATAAGCAATGCAAACATGAAAAATTATATAACTTCCTATTGATTGGATCGCATAGAAATGTGAAAAAATGATCATTGAATCGAAAGTCCATGTTCAAGAATCAACACTAAAGCTAAACAACTAGGCAATGCAATCTTGAGTTGCAAATGAACCCTGGACCTGTCTAATAGTTAGATGATAGTTCAATTCTCATATTGTCCAAAACAAGCAACCCATGCAGATGGCCAGATTAACTTCATAAGCACTTTAGAGAGAGAGAGAGACTTTAGCAAATGAGAAATCATTTTATAGTAATTATAGGACCCCAAATTTAGACTAACCTCAATAAAAACGTTTTTTTTTTTTCAAATAGCACTCTCTATACACTTAAAATAATGTCTCAAAATTGAACATTGTCCAATTTTTTTGATAGCAATATCTAAGCATTAGAAAACTTAAAATTTAATATTTTTCTTTTGGAAATGATCATCTAGTGATTTTTAGGTGGATCCCAAATTTTCATATCAAAAAAATACTCCTAAGTAGGTCATCGCCCGAGGGAGTAGATGTATAGCATTCTCCCCTAGGAGAATAGTACACTCGCCCGAATGAAAAAAAACAACAATTTGAAAAGAAACATATCATTTTCCTAAGAATAGCTTTAAAAGTTTCCTAATGACAATTGTGAACAATTTTCAAATAATTGACATGGGATATCTATAACTGAATTAGTATTCAACGCACTTGGCCGAGTAACTCGAACTTGACACCTTGTCGATCCGAGTAGTAGCGTACAAACATGGTAAGTTAGAAAAGTAAAATAAATTCATAAAATTATATTTCTTAAGTAAATCAATGTAATAAACATGTTCTTATATGATTTGGATGATTGATTAACTTTTTTTTAATCATTTTCTCTATTTATATATTTTCTATTTTTTAGAATTTTTTGAATTACTTTCAGCTATAAATAATTATTTTCAAACCTTTTTATATTATTTTTCATCATTTTTAGACTTTTGGTGCTCTTTATGTTTTGGTTTGGTGGTTTTATTTATTAAATTTATAATCTTTCTAGGAATGTACACTAGAATTGCTCATGTAACTCAACTCAAGCCAGGGTGGGGCCCGCCTAATGCCCAAATCTGACATTGATTTGCATCATTTAATGATAGATAGCATATAAATTTAATATACTCAATCCTAGTAATTATCCAACAATTCCAATAAAAGCTATAAACACGAACATATCTTTGATAATAATATCCCATAATTGGTATTTGTCACTAGGTGTTATGCATAATGCACCCATTGATGCATGGCACTTCTAATTCATCATCAAAGTATTTGAGGTAGGTTATATAAATCATGCTCCACTATTCTGCTCTATTAAGGGTTATATTTTTAATTGGGCCATAAATCACTATATATCTTCTCACTATTTTCATCAATGTCCTTTTGGGCCTTCTCTTTGGTATTTTAGAACCTTCCACTTGAACCGAATCGGGCCTCCTATCTGAGGCATAAGATTCATGAAAAAATGTGGTAAAATTTTATGCAACCCTCAACCCTCCTCCATCCGGGCTTGGGATGAAGCCATAGCACCATTTCATGGCACTCCTAATTATGAACTAAAAAGTTTTGGGATGTCAAATGACGAAAATTCCTCTAGTTATTAAGAGTTTGGAATATAGAACTGACTTTTTTCATTAGAAACCCTTGTTTTATTTTCCCAACCACGAACAACTAGGGGTATTATCATAGTCTGAACCAAGCCTCTTAAGTTGTGCCAAATTACCAAAATGCTTTCGATGGTTCCTAAACCTAAAAAAGGATAATTTGGAAATTCTTGAACAAATTTTTTAAGGTAGTGGCTTTATAACATGAAACTTTAAAAGTGAACTCTGCAATTGAAAGTAGGATCGTTCGATCCTTGAATAATATTGTAAGATAATTTGAACTCTTTAGTAATAGTTTCTCTGTATATTCTACATAATGCACATTAGCCATTAGACAACGGATGTCAAGAAGCCAGACCTGGTATTTGTACTTTAATGTATGGGGATGTGGTGGTCTATATGTTGTGGTTTCTATTCCCACTAACACCTTCTTACTAAAACCTTTAAAAAAACTAACTCCTCTAAAAAACTAACTCCTCACTTATTTGAAAAAAGAGTAGAGGTACTGAATTGCCCAAAAACAAAAACAAACAAATGGCAATTGCCTGCACATGATTTCTTTCCATAATCTTAACTTGGTTCTATGAACATGTACATCGATAAGGACAAGATAAGACCACTAAGCCTAATTCCAAGAGTCGTGGAAGTTGGTAACATACATATTTATGGTCATAACTTACAAATAAGCAAATTGCATGCCCACATGATACTCATTTTCCCCCATGAGTACAGTTATTTGGAATTGACATTAATCCCTTACTAGAGGTTATCCTTGCCAACTTTGTCAAAGAAAAAATACAAAGGGAAACCTCGAAGTCTCATAAAGGTCATTGTTTCTTCATTTTGATTTCTCAATTTTTGTTGGGGTAAGTTTGAATTTTATTTATCTATGTGAATGCATTGGAGACTATTGAGGTTTGAAGCCAGCTATTGTCCCCAATTCCTCCACAGATTTGGCCAAGTCTTGCACTTTCTCCTCCATCTCCAACAACATGTAAGCAAAAGCTGCTACAGCCAAGGCATCTCCGAGCCCTGCTCCTCCCATCACCTCCTCCTCCTCTCCCTTCTTTCTTCTTTCCACCACAAGTCCAATATCTTGAGAGTGAGGGAGCGGCTCGATGAGAGCGGTCCTCAGCTCCTCAGCCATCGCCTGCAAGCTTTTCCCGATCACTGAGGCCAATGAGTGGCACCTCCTCATCTTGTGTATACTCTCCCCTAACTCACTCAGTGCACACACTATGGCCTCACCCAAGTTCGTGCATGGCTTCTCGAAGGACCTCCGGATCCATTCGGGTGACTGCTCCAACGCAACAACAATTCAAATCATTTGTGTTAGCAACCAACCATAAACTCTGAACCCCAAGAAAAATTAGCAGGCATACCTGTTGGACGGATTGGACACAGCTGTGTAATGATAGGACGCATGCAGCGAGCTGCCTGAGGGTCTCTGAAATTTGCAAATACTTGTCCCATGGGTAGTAGAACCCAAACCTTCCATGCCATGGCTCCCAGCTGGCAAAGTTAGCCTACAAGGAATGTGACAAAATGAGATCACGACACATCATGCACCAACCAGACCCAACTTCTAATGAAGTATATGCTGCCTCTGCTCACCATTGCCGCGTCGGCATCTTTGGAATGTAAAACAGAGATGTAGCCATTGGAGATGCTTCTCTTGGTCTTCACGGCTGTCTTTTGGTTGTTGGTTTTGAAGTATTCAGCTAGACATCCTAGGTTTAATCACATGTATTATTACAGGATGGTTCGAGTCAAAAAAACTGAAATTCGTTACCAAGATTGATGGTATCGAGGTTAAGATGACAGAAAAGCACCTTCTAATGACACTGTGATGTTCTCGAATTTTGTGACAAGTGATCGATGAAGGTTATCTCCAGCCCACACTGGGCAAATGAAAAAGCTGGTGGCCACACATACTGCGAACCCCATCCCAACTGTGGAGAGTCTATCACCAGCTAGTTTCACAATCTCCTCGCCCCGGTAACCAGAGACGGCAATCAGATTGAAAGTTAGGATAAATATCATCACTCCATAGTCATATTTTTTCTTGATGGTAGGGATGAACCTGGTATAAGAAGCTATGGCACCTACAACCAAGAAAATAAGAAGTTTGATAATCAAGAAAACCAACCAAAGTTAAAATGAAGAAATAGAGATGCCAGTTATGAGATAATTAGCAACCTGGAAGAATTCTTTTTACCTATGAAGAAAATAGAGATCCCGAGAACAACAGCATTGGCCCTACGGCCGGCCCTTTGGGAGAGAAGGCCAGTCAGCATCCCTACAGAGCCCCCTAAAATGGTTCCAATCCCTCTGTTCAATCCCTTGCCCAATGTAGCACCTGAAAACAACATGCCAAACAAACCCTTATTATTGTTGTTTTTATCAATCTTGCAAAATATAATTGTATGATAATGTATACTATAAGACCATTCATATTTTATTTAATGAGATCACAATCACTCATGTCCCTCAGGTGTGACGTCCTGTAGGTTGGGGCATGTCATAAGTTTAAAAAATTTTCTTTCAAACTTTGAGCTAAGTGAGTTGGACGTTCCCAACCTACCGATTTTACATCCAACAGCCAAAATTGATTATGACCTCCTTCTACAAGGTAAATAATTTTATTATATTCCTAATCTTATAGCATAATCTTGTTTCTTTACCTGCTGTGAACTCGTAAAGCACAACCACAGTCATGATCGCCCACATCGCATTGTCGCCGACTTCATCGTAGAGATCCTTTTGAAGGTAGAGGAGTGAGACCAAGACGAGGGCGATGGCTACCTTGATGCTATGGATTATGGGCCTGTGGTCCCTTCGTTGTTGAAGAAGTCGTAGTGTGGCAGGTTGCTTTCTTTTGAGGATTTCACCATCTTCAATTGAGATGCACACTACCCTTGCATCCGACTTCTCCATGGCAGCAACAAGGCACTACAATGCAATGTTTGTTGTCGTGGCTCTTCAAAGAGGGTGGTGCAGGCATATATATACTCACATTCTTTCAAGTACATGTCATGATTGCATGTTGAGATTGTACATCCATTCAGAAACAAACCAAAAGGATGCCATTGACTTAGGGGAGCAATAGGCTAAATGCCCCCACTCTTCTTCCACAATTAAACAAAAAAAATGGGACTTTATTTATATATATATATAAAAAAAAAAAAATTATTGGAATAGATATTTGAGACCCAACATCAATTATTTGTGTTTATTCAAGAACACTGGTGATTGGCTTTTGCTCACTTTTATAGCTAGCCATTTTTTTTTGGAATGGGGGTTTTGATCAGTCCACTGTCTCATCTATTCACATGAGTTCTTCGTCCAAAATCCATATCCATGTTAAGGATGGATTTTGGATTCTGATTTTGAAGGATCCATAACCATGATCATGAATATGAAAAATAAATAGATTTCGAATCTTGAAAATTGTAGTTTTTTTTTTTTTTTTTTAAATTGCACTATTTATTTCTTATTTTGGTGCGTTCCCATTTTTCAATGTCCATCTTAAATATGAATGTTTGGTGCCCAGGGGAGACATGCATCCCCTGACTCATACAAGAATTTTTTTTTTTTTCATTCTGGTAGGGCAGCTGTTCAACTCATTTCTTATAAGAGCATGGATAATAGAAGTTGGGCAAGAGTAGTTAGGCAATCGTGATTCCATTAGTTCACAAGGAAAATAGAATTTGGATCGAAGGTGTTCACCGGCTGAATTGCAACTTTTTTTATTGCTTAACAGTAGGGCTGCTGGTCAAATACATGAAATTTCATTACACTGACCTTGAGGTTAGCGGTGCAAACTGTAGGGCTGCTGGCCATCATAAAAGTTTTCAGACTGAAAATATATTTTCCAACAAATTTTGGAAGCATCCCTTACTTTGATTGTTTAAGAAGAGCACCTTAAAAAAACCTCACTCTTATTTAAAATTCCATAACATGCGAGCTATTGTAAACGCCAAAAGTGCCTTTAAGAGGTAGGTAATTCAAGATTTATAAAGCTCAGTTTCAAATTGTAAGCTATAGATGATTTGGGACGAAGAAGATTCATTTGAGGAAATAATTTTTTTTATCTATGTAGTTGGGAGATTTATTTATTTTTATTTACTATAAATAAAGTTGAAAAAACAGTAAAAACAAAAATATTTCTCCTTAATTTGGGCATCAATATCTGAAAATTATTAGAGATGCCTCATTTCCAGGCAAAAATAATCCCTTGAAATTAATTTTAAAGGACTCAAAGAAGCCACGATTGAGCAAAAACTTTGAAATTAACCCATGATTACCATGGGATTTTCCCTAGTAAAAAAAATGCATGCATACCTATGCAATTTAACATAAAACCTAAGGATAAATTCGGTACCTTACCTGCCCATAAAAGTAAGTGATAGGAAAAGGAGGAAGACTAGACATCACTAGCAATGGGTGGAGTTGTGTGGACTTTCATGGCCACAAATATACTTGTCCCTTCGTCGTTTGGACACCATAGGATAAAATAATAATATTGTTGGCCAATGAGAAATTATTGGTTTAAGGATTCTCTAGTTTAGTTGTCCCAATAAGCCATTGGGTGGCAAAACTTTAAGAGACTATTTAGTACAAACCAAATAAAACTACCATTGGTAAATCGGGATACCTTCTTTATTGTTTTTTCTTTGTATAAATGTGGCTAATGGGTTTTTTAAAATAAGTACATTTCTTTCGGGATTGTATACAATGAGATTATTTATTTTTAATAATAAGTAGGTCGCAATTATTTATAACTTTCCGATGTGAAATTTGATAGCTTAGGTGTATTACAAGGTTCAAGAAAAATTAAACTTCAAATTAAATTTTTTCAAACTCTGTGACACACCTAAGCTATCAAATTTCACATCGGATGGTCAAGATTAACTGTGTCTATTTTGTACAATGGTAAATGGTCTCAATGTATACTTTCGCATTTTTATATGCTCCTAAGTGGTTCATTTATAAAACATTATCTAGCGGACGATTCCAATTGTGTGTGGCAAGTTAAGTTTTTCCAACTAAAAACGAGTTTCTATGTATACAAAAATGCATTATGTACCATACATTCTACGTTCTCTGGTTGTCAACAAGTTTCTATGTATACAACTAATACCAGAATTCTCATAAGAATCTTGATAAAAGAGAAAAAAGAAAACAAAAATTATGTGATCAGAGTACAAAAATATGAGGTCTAGAGCTCCATACCCACCAAGTCCAAAGTTAGCACTTTGACTCTAGGCTAGTTAGTACTCATGTTCACTATTTGAAGGATTCTTTGTGATATTTACAATACCATCTCGACTTCCCAACAGTTAGCTATTCTCACTCTAACCAACAAAGGGCTAGGTGGCGTTGATTCTCCACTATCATATATCTAGCACTCGCTATTATGGTAGAGATTGCTCGTTGCTAGAGTGTTTTGCTTTAACAGAAGCTAATTTGTGTGTAAGTTGATGATAGCGAGATACAGGAAGCTAGATTTCTTGTAGTAAATATTTCTCCTATTCAGGAAGTTCGTGAAGCTAGATTGCTAGCAGTAAACATTTATCCCAATTAGGAGGGCTCTAATATTTTCTTCAGAGAATTATAAGATAAGATTGCTAATCTTTGATACAATATGGTCACAATTATTCTCTTTAGCCATGAGATATGAAATTTAGAAGGGAGACAAGCTTTCAAAGCTGTAATAGCTGGGTTTTCATAGCACTAAGTCTCGAGTTCCATTCTTATGTAACTTTATCCAAAAAAAAAAAAGAAATTGGAAACCTGAGCTTTCTTTTTTTTCTATATTGAGTCCAAAAAAACTATTTCTCCGACTTTGAGATATGCTCCCGAGCCCCAAAAAAACGATTTCTCTAACTTTGAGATGTACTCCCCTACTCCATCGACGAAGGTAAACAGGGCCTTATTGCATTAGGTTTCCTCTTGATTTTTTTGTAACAGTCATGTATATTATACTCTTGTGGGAGCATAGCTTATATATACACTCCCTTTGTTGGAAGATCTACTTGTGAGAAATTTTTTTTAATTTTAAATTTTGGGAGAATCACTATGTCATTTGATATTTGAGTTTCCTAGCGCCTAAGTCTCACCCTCTAAAACTTTGATAGTCTCTATTCAATTTTGAGATATTATTTTTTAAAAATAAATAGTGTGCAATCAGGAATGTTTTTAGCATGGTTAATCTATGGATTGAAAAGTTTATATCCTTCAATTTTGAGATATTATTTTTTAAAAATAAATAGAGTGTGCAATCAGGAATGTTTTTAGCATGGTTAATCTATGGATTGAAAAGTTTATATCCTAAAATTAATCTTAGGTAGGCTTTTATTGAGGAGGAATGTGATCAGTATGCTCCCGATTAAGTATAATGACTTCTGGATTTTTTTTAAGAACGATTGTTTCATGCGGGCTGGCCTGCATTTCTAGAATATGTTATCCAAAGGTATAAAACATCCATGGATGCAAATAGGTGGTTCATCTAAAGACAATTATAACTAACTGTTCAAATATTTTCTTAAATATAATCGTTATTTTTAGTTTTCAAATTTTTGTTTTTTGTTTTCATATTAAAGATTATATATTCTAAAAAAACAATAGAATCAAATTATATTTAAAATATATATTTATTGTGAAGCCCGCATTTCTATATGTACCGAATTGGCCGCATGCTGACCGCCTCGGTTTTTTAATCCATGGTCTGTTCTGTCCTGTCATCACATTCGTTTATGTTGCGTTACAGGCGATCCATGTCAGTGAATTCATGGAAAGTGGGTTCATACAGGTACATGTGACAAGTGCACTCCTTCCTGCTGTGGGCACCATAACAAATCATGATTTCCTCCAACTCATTCATCTTTTCTAATGTTTGATGATGTATAATAAATCATGATTTCCTCCAACTCATTCATCTTTTATTATATATACATGGGAAAAGTTTATATAGAGCCTATGCTCTAGTCTAAACAATGACGTTAAAGCCTATCTTAAAAAAAAATTTCACTAGAAAAAGTTGTTTTAATGTCTAAATATTCTCAAATTTATCATTTAGACATCAAGATGCATGAATGTGAGAAAACATTAATTTCAAATTTTGGAAATAATGCATCTTGTTAGGCATTTTTGGGTCATCAATTTTTAAGTTATTTAAGGTTTCATGATATGCTCGATTTATACTATTTTTAAAGCTTTGAATTTTATAATTAAAGGTGAAAATATATTTTAAGGCTGGTTAGAATTTTCCAATATTGAAACCATATTTTTTTACACTATTTGAAGGTGGGCTCTAATTTGATTGTTTAGAGCCTCGGCTCTATACAAATCGCTCTATATATATTGTCGTATCTCTTACAAATTCACGTAAAACTATTTGTGTTCTCTTGGGTATATTATATTTCAATTGAAAAATAGATATATAATATCTAAAAATAAAATTTTAATTTTTAAACTAATAGTATTTATTTGTTATTAAAAATGAATTTCTCTTATATTTCAATTGAAAAATAGATATATAATATTTTAAAAATAAAAATTAAATTTTTAAACTAAAAGTATCCACTTGTGATTAAAAATGAATTTCTAAAAATTAGATCTAAAAAACACTTATCAATTGTGATAGAATGACAACATGGTATGCTCCCGTAAAAACATGTTATACAAATTTCCAAAACTAAAAAAGTATAGCATTTAACGTGGCAAAAGCAGCAATAATTACCTTCAATTTTTTGCAAAATCATCAGCATCTTAAAAAAAAAAAAACAATTAAGTCCTTGAATATATAATAAAAACAAGGAAAAAGTTTATATAGAGTTGAGGCTCTAAACAATCAAATTACAGCCCACCTCAAAAATTTCACTAGAAGAGGTTGTTTTGATGCCCAAATGTCCTCAAATTGATCATCTCGACATCAAGATGCATGGACATGCGGA